TGATTTTGGCACACCTCTGGAAAAGGGGTCTCAAATTTAACACAAACTTTTAACAAGTTCTTCAAAATAGAAAAGCAAAAAGCACTGGGAAATACTAATAAGGAAGTAAAAGACCTTAATTTAACACCATCATTTAATTTTTGTTCTAAATTCTATTAGAAATTTCAAAAGACTGGAGAATTTTGTGGACCAAACTGGGGAAAAAAAGAGGCTTGTTTGGTTGGGGAAGCAGCCTATATTCGGCCTCTACAAAGAAGGTATTTTGGCCCTGTGCGCCGACGTACGATGTAGATGTATTTACACCATTTAAAAGTTAAATCTTTTATTTATTGCTGTATGTTAAAATATCAGTAACTTTCCTTGTCTTTCACTTAGAAAAACATTACAGAACATACCCACTAAGCCAGTTTTTTCATCATATGAATAGTTTTGTAACAAAAATTAATGAGTAGTTCTCTTTAAAAATTGATATATCATTTATTTAAATGGGAACTGTAAATGTTTTTACCTGCAGCCATAGACAAATGCATAAGCTTTCAGAAAATGTATTATTTTACTGATTTTGATATCTACTTGCTACAAGTTTTATGTTTAGCAAGCACACATGATATTTTAACTGGCTAGGAAGTTGCCTATCTCTGTTATCTATGTCTCTGGTTGTATCTAGACTGGAAAAGGGGCAGGGTACACATGATAAAGGGCAGGGCATTAAATATAGAAAGCACAGAGTGCACTTTGACAGAATCTGTAAATCCAAACTTTGTTCTTCATGGACAAAGCAAATGAAAAACAATACAGAAGCAGTGTGAAACAATTTCAGTTTTACATCATAAATTGAAGGAAACATCAAAATAATTAAGAAATAATACTGGTCTTAGCAATTTATCGGCTATTTAACACCGGTTGGGAGTTTTGATGTGAATTGTTAATTTTTTCGCATCAAAACGACAATTTTATCAAATTTTCAACAATAAAAAATTATGTCTTAGAATCGATTGTATTGTGTTTACATCAGTGCCCATTTTATCATTCTTTTATGTTTGAAATGACATCAACCTTTAAGAATGAGTTGTTCACTTAGGATGACGTCATTATGCTGCTTACGGATTGGCGCCGTTTTGTCAAATATTTGAATCAAATATGTGGTGTTTGTGTATGCAAGATATAATTTCAGTATTGTATGAAAAGAAAACATTATAAGAACTGAAAATATTAACCCTTTTGCTGCCAGAGGGTTATTGATTTACTGATCACCTATTTGCCAGAGGGTTTTCTAAGAGATTATTATATTATTAATATAATTATTATTATTTGTTATTAGTATTATAATAATTATATGTTTCCAAGTCTGCTAGTATAATAATTATTGTCGATGGTGTAATTATCTATATATTTATTATTATTATTATAATAACGGCAAAAGCCGTTCCACTTTGCAAATACGCCGAAAATAATAGGGACAGCATTATGCCGTCCTTATGGCAGTGAAAGGGTTAATAAAAATGCTGTTTTATCGTTGCTTTAAAAGACTTTGTAAACTATACAATCGAGGGAGAAAACATAACAGACACATATAGATTAGTAGTCCCTAACCAGTGTTTATTAGCAGTTTTACACCAGTTTTTTTTCTTCTTTGTCTACAGTGACAAAATCATGAGGAGTATTAGAATATATAATATACAGTAGCCTTTTATAAAGCGGTTATATAAATGCATATTACAATGTAGGTATTATGCCTATGTCCCTGTGTGGTTTTTGACAGAAATGGAAGATAGGGAATCTAAAAAAAACTATTAAAAAACAAGTAAATAACATAATAGATAAGTGTTAACAGTTATTTGTTGTAAAACAATTCTGTAAGGACAGAGGTACCTAAAAGAAATACATGGTCAAATAGACTGCAATATGAGAATGAAGACTATCAATTCATAGAGTGCAGCCAAAAATATAGAGGTGGGGATCATAAACTGATTTTTTTTCAGGTCCTTGCCCATTATTAGACTGCATGCCTATACTACATGCACATTAATTTACACCAATCTACACCCCCACCCACTGAAATATTATGATCATGGATGTCTTAACATTTTCTAAAGTGATTCTTGGTCATTATCTTTACATTCTAATTGTTACTTTATAGTTTTAAACAGATACTTACTTCTTCCTGCTTTAAGGTTTTTATTTACAATTAAAAAATGGGCGTCGCAAAAATATATGACAATTGAAAAGAAAGTTGTTTGTTTTCTGCAAATATTTTATAATTCTTGTTACAGTACCAGAGCTTGTTCAAAAGTAAATACTTTTATTATCATTTTATAGATGTTTCCCACTGGGGACAGAATCTAGAAGCCTTTAGAATTTACGGCAAAATTCATGGTGAAAGACAGGATTCATGTTTGGCTTTTCTATGATTAAGACGATGTCTGTTGTTAACTGCTCAGTGGTCATTATAATATTGAACAATTTAAATGTACTTGAACTTAATTATTTATTTGATAAATATTTTTGGCTTCTTGAAATTTTATATGAACACTAGGACTGACACGGTAAGGAAATTTATCTCGGGCAGATTTCAATTACCGTAACAGATAATAATGTCTATTGTCTTTGACAGGGTTCTCCCTGGGTCAAAATTATTTTGCGCCACAAAATTCGCCAATCAGAAAAAGTTGGAGCCAATTATTCTGCAAGGGAGACATACCTATCTTTGTTAAGATATGCTAGCAGTTATATATCATTATGATTACAAACACATATTCATAATATTTCATTTTATTACACCTGCACATGTTTATTATTTAAAATATAGACATAGTTCATGTTTTTCTCAAATTCCATATAAATAAATACACATGACAACATAAATGTAATCAAAAATATCATTTAAAGTTAGTAATGAGGTTGGGAGGTCCTGTTTACCACTGTTTTGCCTACAGCAGTTCTAATTATCACTTACTCACTCTCAATGACTGGACTAAGCCAAAATCTTTCCAGCTTCTGCCTGACATTCTGGTGATGTACAAATACAAAATAAAAAAAAACATTACTATAAATTGACTTCATCTAAAAATCAATGAGAACAAAAAATGAAATAGATATTAAGTACTTTTTAACAATGAAGAATATTGTTTATAAAATGTGGGGGGGGGGGCTTAGATGATAATGGATTCGCTTTGTGGCGTCCGTCAGTCGTTTGGTCGGTCCGTCCGTCTCCATTTTCGTGTTCGCTTTATAAATCCTATACCACTTGAAGGATTTTCTTCAAACTTGACTCAAATGTTCACCTCAACAAGGGGATGTGCTGAACCCATGTTGCCCATGTGTCAGCTCAAGGTCAAGGTCACAATTGAAGGTCAAACATCAAACAATCAAATATTAGATAGTATGTCGTGTCTGCTCTGTAAGTCCTACACTAATTGAAAGATCTTCTTCAATCTTGGCTCAAATGTTTACCTCAACAAGGTTATGTGCAGAACCCATGTAACCTTTGTGCCAGCTTAAGGTCAATGTCACACTTGAAGGTCAAAAATTGACTAAGAAAATATTGTTTAATTTTAACATGTATTTGAATATTTCTGAAACTAGAGAAGTTATTTGCTTGAAACTTAAAATATATATGAAGTGTCACAATGAAGATATGCAGGCTACATTGCATAACTCTGTATTGCATTTTGACAAAGTTATGCCCCTTTTTAAGTCTTCAAATTTACATATAATAAAATATTAGACAATATGTCATGTCCGCTCTATAAATCCTATATTAATAGAAGAATTTTCTTCAAACTTTATACTCAAATGTTCACCTCAACAAGGTTATGTGCAGAACCCATGTTACCTTTGTGCCGGCTTAAGGTCAAGGTCACACTTGAAGGTAAAAAATTGACTTAGAAAATGTTCTTAAATTTTAACATGTACTTGAATATTTCTGAAACTAGAGAAGGTATTTGCTATTTGCTTGAAACTTTAAAAGATATATGAGGCGTCACAAGTATGATATGCAGGTCAAGTTTCATAACTCTGTATTGCATTTTGACAAAGTTATGCCCCTTTTTTAGTCTTTAAATTTATATACAATCAATACTAGACAATTTGTTGTGTCCGCTCTATAAATTCTATACTATTATGGAAGGATTTTCTTCAAACTTGACTCAAATGTTCACCCCAACTGGGCAATGTGCAGAACACATCTTATCCTTGTGCCAGCTTAAGGTCAAGGCCACACTTGAAGGTCAAACATTGACTTAGAAAATGTTCTGATATTTTAACATGTACTTGAATATTTCTAAAACTAGAACAGATGAATCATTTGAAACTTCAAATATATACGAAGTGTAGCAAGTAAGATACATATATGCAGGTCAAGTTACATAACTAAAAAAAGTGGTGGGGGGGGGGATAACATTGTATTGTATTTTGACAAAGTTAAGTCTATTTTTATGTCTTTAAATTTATTTACTATAATTTTTCTTGTTGACGGAAGTTAGCGTGTTTATGGGACAAATTTTATGGCAAAGAGCTGAAAGGGGAATCAAATTTACAGGAGTAACTTTGAAATTGGGGGAAAATTGCATGATTTTTGAAGTTTTGAAGAAATTTTCTTGGGGGATGATCCGAATCAGATGTAGTCTGTATTAGGCTACAGAAATAGTATGAAGAAAAAAAACTTGAATTTTCTTTAAATTGATTTTTTATGAAATATTTTTCACTAATCTTAAGGCATGCATCTTTAAAAAGAGTATATTATTATATAACATGTGAAAATGTCCTTGTTTAGGCTCTTAATGCAGATCTTGAAAAGTTGTAATATCGAAAATGGACATCCTTGAAAATCCAGTAAGGTCCTGGAAAAGTCCTTGAATTTCAATTTGGAAAAAGAGTGGGAACCCTGATGGTAATTTACTAAACAAGCAATTTCATTTAAAAAGACTGAACAATCTTTCCAGGCTTGTTATCATTTGAAGAAATGTGATTATATTATAATTAGAGATTTATTATTTCAGACATTTGACCAATTTGAGATGGATGGTTGTGATAATTGTGATGAATATTTACATATGAAGAACAATAATGGTGCTGTTTATGAATGTACAAGTTCAAATTTTGATGGGTATGTAATGTCAGTGATCTCCATAAATCCCTACAGATGGTGAAGTTGCTGACCTGCAGCTTTTGCCAAAGAAGACAAATATAAATACTTTAAAATCACTCATATATTGATGTCATAAGTAATTATTGCACAAGGAAGATGGACAAAACCCCACATGTCAATACCCCACACCTAAATATTTTATAGAATGGACATAATCCAACACCTGAATTTTATAGGGTGGATATAACCCCACACTGTCTTAATTATTTGTTATAATACCATACAGTTCATTTTGTTAGAAAAGAACATACATAATTATTATTTACTAAAGTTTGATATAGTTACTATAGTGCCTAAATTGATCTTGAGAATTACTGGTATGTTATATTTTATTTTCAATATACAATGCAATATGATTGAATGATAAAAGACTATACAAATATTACTAACTGTTATATCAAAATCAAAGGGTAGATGTTCATTTAACTAAATTATCATTAATTATTCAAAGTGTGAAAAACGTCACTTATGTTATTGTCAATCAAAGGTCTATACAGATTAGTAATAAAATGTATCAGGTTATGTATATACACTCTATAAAATTTATGTGTGGGATTTTGTCCACTGGTGTGAGGTTTTGACATGCGGGGTTTTGTCCGTCTTCCTGTGTTGATAGATTTAAGAAATAACATTGGCCTGAGAAGTGTATATCGGCTATTTAACACCAGTTTGGAGTTTTGATGCATAGGAGTTGACAACGAAGGCCATAGGCCTAAGTGGTTATTTTTTTCGCATCAAAACGACGAAACCGGTGTTAAATAGCCGATATACACCTCTCAGGCCGATGTTATTTCAATTCTAACATGATAAAATAAGGAAGATCACTAATGTTATTTTTTTTCAAACGGAAATAACATCCGGTGCTGATTTTCGTATAACGCTGTTCGATTTTCGCACCCTACTGTTGCGAAGATATAGAAATTATTAAACAAAAGAAATAATAAGAAAAAACGTTATTTTATCAAGTTTTCAACAATAATAACTTACGTCGTATTGTGTTTACATCAGTGCCCCATTTATCATTCTTGTACGTATGAAATAACGTCAGCTTGTTTATGAGTGAGTTGTTTACTTAAGATGACGTCATTACGCTGCTTACGGGTTGGCGCTGTTTTGTCAAACAATATTTATTAACTGATATGGATCAATTATGTGGCGTTAGTGTATGTCAGATATTATTTCGGTTTTGTATGAAAAGAAAACATTAGAACTGAAAATATGAATAAAAATGCTTTTTATTGTTGCGTAAACTATATAATCGAGGGTGAAAACATAACAGCCGCATAAGCAGGTAGTCCCTTACCAGTGTTTATTGGTAGTTTAACACTGGTTTTTTGTGCCCCCACTTTAGTGGCGAGCATTTAGATTTACCCTTGTCCGTCCGTCTGTACATCCGTCCGTCCGAGCAAACATTTGATTATTATGAGCTTAATTCTGTAGTTAAATAAAGAACAAAAACTCATAAAGTTCAAATTAAGAGCTATTTAACGTTGGTCCAGGTGGTGTTTATGAGCTTATTTGCCTCATAAACATAAAATTTTGGTATGTCTGTCCATCCTTCCGTCCGTTCTCTTTTGTGTCGCACGTAACTCAAAAAGTATTTGACCTAGAGTCATGAAACTTTACAGGAATGTTGATCAGTATGTGTAGTTGTGCACCTGGGTATTTTCGTCTGGATATTTTTAGTATTTTAAGAGTTATTGCCCTTGACTTAGTAAAATTTTGCAATTTTCAACTTGTGTCGCATGTAACTCAAAAAGGATTTGACATAGAGTCATGAAACTTTACAGGAATATTGATCAGCATGTGTAGTTGTGCACCTGGGTATTTTCGTCTGGATGTATTTAGTATTTTTGGAGTTATTGCCCTTGACTTAGAAAATGTTTGCAATTTTCAACTTGTGTCGCATGTAACTCAAAAAGGATTTGACATAGAGTTATTAAACCTTATGGGAAGGTTGCTCAGCATATTTAGTTTTGCACTTGGGGTTTCCTTTGTGGATTTATCCAGTATTTGTAGAGTTATATCCCTTGACTTAGTAAAAACTGTTTCATTATGTTGTTATTTGTTCCTTGAGTGCTTGAGTGCTTGAATTAGAATCAACCAACTTTACAGGAATAATGATCAACATCACTAAATTACAGGAATAATGATTCACATCACTGTGAAGCTATTACCTGGGATGCATACATGTGTGGATTTTTTTCAGTTTTGTTAGAGTTCTTGTCCTTGACTTACAGTAGTATAAATTTGCAATTTTCAACTTGGGGTTTGCTTGTGGATTTATTCAGTATTTGTAAAGTTCTTGCCCTTTACTTTGTAAAAGATTTTTAGTTTTCAAAAAATATTTGACCTAGAGTCATAAGATTGACAGAACAGTGGCACAGTGGGGGCACCCGTGTCCTATGGACACATTTCTAGTTCCTTCTTTGTCTATAGTGACAAAATCACGTGGAGTGTTAGAATGTAAATTCTAGCTTAATGTCTCTACCCTAGTATACTACAAATTTGAAGTATCCCCCATTGTGTTGATGCCAAAACAAAATCACTCCATTGAAAGCTTAATGTGGGGATATCAGGTAAACCCTGAGCTCATTTGAGCCGCGTCACGACAAAACCAACATAATGGGTTTGCAACCAGCATGGATCCAGACCAGCCAGCACATCCGCACAGTCTGATCAGGATCCATGCTGTTCGCTATCAGTTTCTCTACTTGTTATAGGGTTTGTAAGCGAACAGCATGGAACAGCGGATGCGCAGGCTGGTCTGGATCCATGCTGGTTGCAAACCCATTATGTTGGTTTTGTCGTGACGCAGCTCATTTCTCTTGCTGAAATGCCAGAATTACGTTTTGTGCAACTGTCTAATCTTGACTGGATACTTGCAATTTTAACCCATATTCGAACTTGAGCTAGAAATTATCGCATTAACCCTTTTGACATATTTCGGCTTAAAATGTTACCTCCAGAGTGTTTATCAATATTGACCTAGTTTTTGACCCCAAATGACCCATATTCAAACTTGAGCTAGAAATCATCTGAACAACCTTTCTGGCCAATTTCCAGGATATTTAAAGATCCTGAAACACAATTTTTTCATGGTTTTATTTCATAAATATGATGCTCAAATTAAGATTTGTCAATATTGTAAGTTCAAATAAGCATTATTTATAAAGATATTACCCAATTTAACATTTCATGTAAATAAAGGGAGGTAATTAGAAATTTATTTTCAATAAATTCTAAGTCGAATTTTCCAATAAGAAATGAATGCATGTAATTTATTGATTAAATATAATGTGCACAAATATTTGCAGTACACATTTTACATATTCTTTGATGTTTGAAAATTGTTTTATTTGCATAATTATATACATAGATCATTTTTTGCAAGTGTGGTATACATACAGTAACAATTATCAATCACAAAACATACAGGATCTTTAAGTTGAAAATAGTACTTCCAGAGTTTTGAAAGTTTTTTATACTCAAGGTGAGCTTTTATGATCATATTTTGTCCGGCGTCTGTGTGTCTGATGTCCGTGGTCTGGATTTGTGTGGTCTATATCTTGCTCATTCTTTATAGGATTACAAAAAAATTTGGTAAAAATGTTCACCATGATGGGGGGGGGGGGGGGGTATCACATACAAAACCAAGGTCTACCAGTCATAGGTCAAGGTCACACTTGGGGGTCAGCGCAAAACGTGTGTCCAAAGAGTAACTTCCACATGCATGGAGGGATTTTAATATAACTTGGTACAAATGTTCTCTATAGTGAGGGGAAGTGTCGAGTGAAAAAATCAGGTGTCTGTGGTAAAGGTCAAGGTCACTCTTAGGGGTCAAAGTCAAATAACAAAATAAAACATTCTACATACATGGATGGTGTTTAATATAACAAAAATGTTCTCCATGTTGTTTCTAAAGTGAAGGTCAAGGTCACAAGAGGTCAAATAATTTGTTGCCACTTTGTCCTGCTCATTCTTTGAAGGATAACAAAATAATTTGGTACAAATGTTCACCATGATGGGATGGTGTGTCGCACACAAAACTAGGTCAAGGTCAAATTTGGGAGTCCGTGCAAAATCGGTGTCTGGAGAATAACTTCCACATACAAAGAGGGATTTTAATATAAATCGGTACAAATGTTCTCCAAAGTGAAAGGGGAGTGTCAAGTGAAAAATTCAGGTGTCTGTGGTAAAGGTCAAGGTCACACTTAGGTGTCAAAGGTCAAAAAACAAAATAAAACATTTATTTTCTAGTATAACTTCGATATTAACATGGATGGATTTTAATTTAACTTAGCACAAATCTTTTCCAATACCATGTTGAGTTGTCTCGAGCAAAATGAAGGTCAAGGTCACAAAAAGTTAACTTTTAGGTTAAATAAAAATATCAAAATTTGGTTGTCAGCATTGTGTCTTGCTTATGCTTTGCAGTATTATGCTTAGTGGTCAGAGATCTTTTGACACGCCCGCTTGCGTTGAGCTTGACATAGTTGTTGAAATGACTGTTCAGTGTTAGTGTGTGCGTCCAAACTTGTCCATGCCATAACTCTTTGTGCATGGGGGAATTTTCAAAAAACATGAATTGAGCTTTTAAGGATGAGACTTCCTGTCATGCACATGAACCAGGAAAGAGGTCAAGGTCACCTAAGATGATGCATTGTCAAGATTTTGCCTTGGGTATAATGAGGATGTGTTGCGCACTTCTCACCTTTGTGTACATCTTTCTCCTTGATCTGAAGCTTATAAGTTCAGGTTTGAATTAAGATAAGGAGGCTCGACATTCAGCCCATGGGCATGTCTTGTCATTATGTACATGTAGTAAATACTTCGAAAATCTTGTTGTCTGAAGGGTAACAACTTATATTGGAATGCCTTTTTAACTCGACTATTCGATAAGAATAAGAAGAGCTATTGTAGTCACCCGAGCGTCGGCATCGGAATCTCACTCGCAGCGTCGGCGTAGGTGTAACCACTTATGTTAAAGTTTTTGTAATACCTCAAATATTTTCAAAGTCCATTGACATATGGCTTTGAAACTTTGCACACTTGTTCACCATCATGACCCCAACCTGTAGACAGGAGGAGATAACTGTATCAAGCATTTTGACAGAATTATGCCCCTTTTTCGACTTAGAATTTACGTTAAAGTTTTTGTAATACCTCAAAAGAATTTACGTTAAAGTTTTTGTAATACCTCAAATATTTTCAAAGTCCATTGACATATGGCTTTGAAACTTTGCACACTTGTTCACAATCATGACCCCAACCTGTAGACAGGAGGAGTTAACTGTATCAAGCATTTGACAGAATAATGCCCCTTTTTCCACTTAGAATTTACATTTAAGTTTGCATATCACCTCAGATATTTTCATATTCTATTGACATCTGGCTTTGAAACAAGTTGAAATTTTATTCCCTGCGGGCTCCGTATTGGTACGCGTTTCATTTTGATGCATGGAGGAGCACGTGACCTGTTTTCGGTATATGGAGGAGCATGTGATCTATTAACCGTACATGATTGGTTAATTGACCTTTTCGAAAACCTAGCTAAATACCGTTTGCTGGTACGTTACGGATTTACCTCGAATTACATCTGATTAAGAACATAAAACTATTACGTGATATTTCCAATTTTCTATAATTATTTTACCGTTCAAGGTAGAAAATCTTGCATGATGTGTTTGAAAAAAAATATTATCAATGTTTCTTTAATATCTATCTCAAATTTTACAAACAATAAATTGTTTATAGTGAAAATCTACACAATTAAAACATTCGTAGTGGCATCTGCCATAATAAATAGAGATATTTTTTTGTGTAAACTTGTGTGTTATCTTTATTTTTGCACGGAATTATTCATACAATGGTATTTAATCATTTTCTTAAAAAGAAATATCGTAATTGTTGTATGTTCGACATTCTCTCCAGTCTCCGGTCTTAACAGTCACCAGTCTCCATAGACCTTCTTCTATTGATCGATTATTTTCAACTATATTCCTGATACAAACGTTTATTTATTTTTCCCCAAACAATGTTGAAAATAGTTAAATGAAATATCTTTATATCATTAAAAATGTTTCCCGCAGGAAACTATTTTACTTGTACTCTTCTTTGAGGGCATAATAGGACTCTCGTCAAGGCCTATAACTGTAACATGGATTTAAAGGAAGTGCAGTGCACAAGAGCCATAACTCCATTTTGACAAAATACAGAGTTACTGCCCTTTGATACTTTTCCTTGTCCGGAGCATAACTTAAAATGTACTGGTTGGAATTCAAAACAACTTCATACAATGGTCAAGCACAATAAGAGGAAGTGCAGTGCACAAGAACTATAACTCCATATTCAGTATTTATAGAGTTATTGCCCTTTGTTCCTTTTCCTTGTCTTTCTGGACTTATTACAGAGTAATTCAATAAAACTTCATCAATGGCCAACCACATTGAAAGGAAATGCAACATACAAAAACCACAACTTTCTTTAATTGCCCACAACCATAACTCTATATTCCAATTCTTTTACAAGGTATTCTGTTACTAGTAACATCCTCATTTCTGAAGCAGTCTTGTGTGGGTAATAATCACATTTAGTGATAGTTCTAGTTTATGTTGTTTTTTGTAAAAAATCATATATATCAAATGTAACATACATTGTGAACTTATTGATCTTATAGTGATTTTATTTTTATGTTACATGCAAATATTCCTCTTTTACAATATAAAACGGATTTGTCTAAATACATAGAAATAAAATGACACATACCTTCTTGTTGTTTACCTTCCTCCATATTGGATGGAAGCACCGTATCACGGAAAATCTGCACCGTTGCAGTCTGTGCGAAAGTCTGTCGGTCCTCGGACCTCGCCAACTAAAAGTCAGGAGGGCCGAGATAAATTTCGATAGTCAGTCCTCATGTCTGAATAAAATTTCAACCAGTTTGAAACATTTTTTGGGCTTCTAAAATATGCAAAACTTCCAAGATCAATCTTTTTTTTCATTTTGCTTGTATTCACAGACCCAGATAACCAAAATCACAGCAAGATACAACCAGTTTTTGCTAAGTAATGTAAGCCATCATCTTGTCTTGGATAATTTCCTTACCAAAACATATTTTTTCTCCAATCTTCAAAATTAAACCTTTGAAAGATGTATGGTTTTCTTGTAAATTATGCTTTATTATGTTTCTGTATATTTTTTTCATAGAACCTTATAGTTGAGTCTGATAAATAATTTTGTTTATAATTATGGCAATATCCCTCCCCCACCCTTACAAAAAAATACCTTTTAGAGTTCGGGCCGGGAAAAAATCATCAGGGCCGGAAATAAATCTAAGGATCCCAGTCCTTGTGGCTGGAATTTTTTTTGACTTTCGCATTGACTGCGTTGCACGTGCCCGACAGTGATTTCTAGCTCAAGTCTGAACATCTTGGGTCAAAAACTAGGTACAATACACAGATAGCCCAAATATTTAAAAAAATGTGTTAATAATCTGGTAGCTACATCTGCTTCAATCCAAATATCATTGAAAGACGTCAGAAATGTTGTTTAGATGATTTCTAGGTCAGGTTCAAATACAAATATGAGTCATCTGGGGTTCAAAACTGAGATCACACAACCCTAATTACTGTAGCCTAAACATCTCTAAGCTCCAGCTGGTGAGGTTGTTTTGACACCTGGTGTAACACCCGAGGTAAACCAAAATCATCTTTACATCTGTTTTGGCGCCATAATTATACCTAAATTGTGTTGGTAAAACCAAACAAAACAAACTGGGGTCTAAAAGTAGATCACACAACCCAAGTTGTGGGAATCTAACAGACAATATTTTTAGCCCAATTATCCTGAAAATTTGTCAGAGAGGTTGTTTAGATGATTTCTAGTTCAACTTTGAACATGGGTCATCTTGGGTAACAAATAGGTGACACAGCTCAAATATGTCTAAACTTTGTTGACATTAATTTTGCACTACTTCAGATGCTGATACAAACGTTATATCAGTTTACGATTAAAACATTTTATTACATGCTTTTCGGTGGTTTATAGAAATATATCAGTGATAGAAAACTGTTAATTTCACTGTTTGAAACAGTGAAATTACCACTTTGATAAATTCACTGTTTTGAATTTAAGCCCCTTACGTTGTTTCAGTGAAATACCAGCGTGCACAGTACTGGGTACCAACTTAATGACGTGACATCGTAAATGACGTCACGTTGTATAATTATTTGGCGCGCTTTTCATTCAGTATTAGATTTAATGTCTTTTTAAAATGTTTATTTGCATATAATAAAAAGAAAATTTGTTTAGTTTAGTGTAAGATCGAAATATATTTCACCTTGTGAACACCAAAAGTTCATATTTCACTCGTGGCTGCGCCACTCGTGAAATATACCTTTTGGTGCTCACTCGGTGAAATATATTCCGATCTTACACTGAACTAAACAAATATCCTCTATATATCTGTTGATCATTTATAGTTAAAAATATTAATTATTCCATTAAGTGCCTTAATATCAGATGAGCGATATAAGGGCATGATGGCCCTCTTGTTGTGAGATGCTTCTTGTTTATAATATATTTTTGCAGCAGGTACATGAATATTTAAGCTTTATACTCTAAGCATTTGTAGCAAGTGTACAACAAAAGTGCTTCAAATGGGAAATTTGCAGAAAAGTGCTTGTCACCATTGAATGTATGAATAATGGAAGTACTAAGCAAAATGATGATAATTCTATCTTGCTTTTGAATATGTCTTGTTTCAGAATGGTTGCCATGATGGGTCCAGAAGATAGCTGGGTGGCAAAATGGCAAAGAATTGGTAGGAAATTGTTCTCATACACTCATAGATTATATATACATGTAATGAACTTAAAATCTTCTTGTGAAAAAACCTCTTGTCCAATTTCTACCAAACTTGGCAGGATTAATCCCTTGGGGAAGGGCATTCAAAGAATTTGATTCTGTGCAGGAATCCATGGCAACAAAAAGGAATTATAAGAATAAATTTAAAAAATCTTCTAAAGACCCACAAGGCCTAGAGCATAGATATTTTGAGTAAAGCATTGTCTGGTGGACCTCTACCAAAATTGTTCAAATTATAGCCCTAGGGTCAAAATTGGATCATTGATATTCACAATGTAGACAATGTACACATAGTAAAAACTTTAAAAAAATCTTCTTGTCTGAAGGTAAAAGGCTTAGAGATTTGATATGCATCATCTATAGGTCCTCTACCAAAGTTGTTCAAATCTTTCCTTTAGTTTCAAAATTAGCCCCGCTATATATATAAATGCGTATATATCTTATATTTTTAGCTCACCTGAGCAATGCTCATGGTGAGCTATTGTGATGGCCCTGTGTCTGTCGTCCGTCGTCGTGCATCGTCAACTTTTGAACATTAACAACTTCTCCTCTGAAACCAATGACTGCACATCAACTAAACTTTACAGAAATGATCCTTGGGTGGTCCCCTTTCAAAGTTGTTCAAATGGTTCCGGTCTGTTGCATATGTAGGTCATAGGGCCAGAAAAGGATTTCAAAAAACACAAAATTAAAAAATTTTCTTGTCTGAAAGTACATGGGCCAGAGCTTTGATTTTTGATATATGGTATCATCTATGGGTCCTCTACCAAAGTTGTTCAAATTTTGTCCCTAGTGTCAAAATTGGCCCCGCCCCGGGGGGTCATAGGTTTTTCCTTATATGTATATAGTAAAATCTAAAAAAAATCTTCTTCTCTGATTTGGCAAAGGCTACAGATTAGGTATTTGGCATGAAACATTGTGTAGTAGACCTCTATCAAGATTGTTCAAATAATGGCCCTCGGGTCAAAATTGGCCCCGCCCTCGGGGGTCATTGATTTTCATTATATACATATAGTGAAAACTTCAAAAATCTTCTGGTCTGAAAGTAAATGGCCTAGAGCTTTGATTTTTGGTATATGGTATCATCTGTAGGTCCAAAACCAAAGTTGTTCAAATTTTGTTCCTAGAATTAAAATCGGCCCCGCCCTGGGGGGTCATAGGTTTTTCCTTATATGTATATTGTAAAACCTAAAAAAAATCTACTGCTCTGAATTTGTAAAGGCTACAGGTTAGATATTTGGCATGAAACAATGTAAAGTTGACCTCTACCAAGATTGTTCAAATAATGGCCCTAGGGTCAAAATTGGCCCTGCCCCGGGGGGTCATTGATTTTCATTATATACATATAGTGAAAACTTGAAAAATCTTCTGGTCTGAAAGTAAATGGCCTAGAGCTTTGATATTTGGTATATTGTATTATCTGAAGGTCCAATACCAAAGTTGATCAAATTTTGTCCCTAGTTTCAAACTTGGCCCCGCCCTGGGGGGTCATAGGTTTTTACTTATATGTACATAGTAAAACATAAAAAAATCTACTTCTCTGAATTGGCAAAGGCTACAGGTTAGATATTTGGCTTGAAACATTGTGTGGTAGACCGCTACCAAGATTGTTCAAATACTGGCCCTGGGGTCAAAATTGGCCCTGCCCCTAGGGGTCATTGATTTTCATTATATACATATAGTGAAAACTTGAAAAATCTTCTGGTCTGAAAGTAAATGGCTTAGAGCTTAGATATTTGGTATATGGTATCATCTATAGGTCCAATATCAAAGTTGTTCAAATTTTGTTCCGAGTATAATTGGCCCCGCCCCAGGGGGTCATAGATTTTTCCTTATATGTATATTGTTAAACCTAAAAAAATCAACTTCTCTGAATTTTTTTTAAATATATGTGTAAAGAAAAAACTTAAAAAATCTTCTTTTAAAAACCCCAGTGAGCTAGAGCTTAGATGTTTAGCATGAAACATCTTCTAATGAGTGTCTACCAAGTTTGTTCAAATAAAAGCCCTGGAGTTGAAACTAAGGCCCCCACGATTACACGTTTAAACGGATTCGTTTCGATTTTCATTCATAAACGTTTACGATATTGTTTACCGTTTAATCGAAATGACCATATTGTCTTACAAAATTTCTTAATCATTGCCTGTAATCATGGATTTTATCAATTCTAGTGGTTTATTCCAAAGTAAACAAACGGAAAATGGGTGTTTACAACCCTCCACACAGCATTACCGTGCAAAATTGCTCGTGACATAATACATCTTTGGTAAAAAATGGGGATACAATGCAAAAAATGTGTGCTGACTCAATCGTGATGAGCCCTGCACATTCTTTATTTGTACATGTATTAAAAATAGAAAGAAAGACATCATTTGGCGAGTCAAATACATGGTGTGTATAGTACATAGAGGTACCACCGTTTAAACGGTATCGTTTCGGTTCTTAGCAGTCGTGTAAACGTTTACAAAAAATTGTAAACGTGGGAGCCTTAGTTAAAACTGGCCCCGCTCCGGGGGGGGGGGGGGAGCCTATATACAGGTGAGCGACTTCAGGGCCATCATGGCCCTCTTGTTATAAATATATATGCATTTATGTATATACGCATTTGTATATATATATTTTTATGCCCCCCAAAGAGAGGCATAATATAATCGCACCATCTGTCTGTCCCACTTCATTCTTGTCTGGACTGTAACATTGTCATTCATTGAGAGATTATAATATAACTTGGCACAAATGTCTACCACATAAAGACAACATGTCGCGACAAAGACACATGTCCCTACCTCAAGGTCAAGGTCACACTTATAGTTTGAAGGTACTCATTCTCTCGAGAAGAGTTTGAAGATACACATGTTCGGAGTCTGTAACTTTGTTATGCATGAAAGGATTTTAAAATTTCACAAATGTCTACCACATCAAGACAATGTGTTTAAGGCTCATGTCCATCTGTCCGTGTGTCCTCACTTACATAACAATCATGTCCAGACTGTAACTTTGTCATGCATTGAGGGATTTTGAAATAATTTGGCACAAATGTCTATCTCATAACAACATTTTGTCATGTCCTGGAACCATGTCCCTTCTTCAAAGGTCAAGGTCACACTTATATTTTGAAGGTTCATGCTATCACAATTAGAGATTACAGGTACAATAATACAAGGAACAATATTCAGCAATAAGTTACTTTCATTCTCTTTTCTTTTCATAATACCTGCATGCTTAAGAAACCTTTTCGAGGGCATTCGTCACTTGGGTGACAGCTCTTGTTTTCTTCTGTAATACACATGCGGATATATATGGAAAGGATTCATACTTTGACAAAACTATTGTGAAGAGACATTATTAAAATTATAAAAAGGACATGTTAAGATTTGTTCAAACGTTTCTTTGTTTGCTTTTAGAAAAAGTAAAAAGTCCAGCGTTGCCTCGGGCGTCCGGCGGTGGCTCTTGTTATTTTAAAGTTTGTCCGGACAACTCCTCTTAAAGCATTGAAGCAATTTCAATGAAACTTCACAGGATTGATCTGTAGTTCAAGTACTTGCACATGTTGAACAGGTTTTATGATTGAATGATTTTTGATCGAGTTATGGCCCTTGAATAAAAAAAGTGTTTTTTGTGTGCTGCATGCTACACAAAAACTTGTACGGAATACTTCTCAGAAACTGCTTTTGCAGTTTCATCCAAACTTTACAGGAATGGTCAGTACCAAGTTTAATTGTGCATATCATCAGCTTTTTATGGTTCAATATTTAATGTCGGATATATGGCTCTTTAATTATTTTTATGCCCCCCTTTAAAGAAGAAGGGGTATATTGTTTTGCTAATGTTGGTAGGTCAGTCGGTAGGTCTGTCCGTTGGTAGACCACATGGTTCCTGCTGATTATCTTAAAAAAATTAATCACAAAGTCTTCATATTTCACATACTGAATAGCTATATGTAGAAGATGACCCCTTGATTTTGGGATCACTGGCTCAAAGGTCAAGGTCTAAGGGGCCTTAAATGAAAAAATGGTTTCTGCTTATGACCTTGAAAACTTTTTATGACAAAGTCTTAATATTTCACATATTTATTAGACATAATGGGGTCACAAGTTCAAAGGTCAAGGTCTTTATATTTCACATATTGATTGGTTATAACTAGTAGATCATTATTTTTCTTTTTGTCCATAAGTGAACATTTCCATGGCAAGTTTCTATAACAAAATTACAAATAATGTGAGTCAAGGGCTAGAAAGGGGGGCATATTATGTGTCCTTGACATTTCTTGTTATTTTTAAAGTTTGTCCGGACTACTCCTCTAATACCACTTATTGAATTTCAAAGGAACTTTACAGAATTGATTGGTCAAGTACTTATGCATATTACTTGGGTTTTCTGGTTGAATGATTTTTGGCCAAGTTATGGCGCTGAATTAAAAAGTGTTGCCAGCTACACAGAAGTTTGTCAGAAATTACTAGTGCAATTTCATCAAAACTTTGAAGGAATGATCAATGCCATGTCTAGTTGTGTATCATCAACATTTTTCGGTTCATTGATTTTTAGCTCACCTGAGGACATTGGCTTTTGTGATGGTCCGTGCATCCGTCCGTCCGTGCGTCAACAATTTCTTTAAACAACTTCTCCTCCTTAACTACTCGGCCAAATTTGTTGAATGTTTGCAGGGATGTTCCTTGCATGAAGCTCTACCAAAGTTGTTCAAAAAATTAACTTCCATAAAGAACTTTGATCTTGTAAAAACCTGTTAGAGCTAGAGCTTAGGTATTTGGCATGAAACATTTTCTAGTGGATGTTTACCAAGTTTAGGGTCAAAATTGGGCCTGCCCCAGGAGTCATTGATCAGTAACATCCTTTGCTGCACAAAATGTCCACTCTATAACATTCATGTGTTGTGTTTTGTCCACCCTGTAAAATTTTGAGGTGTGGGGTTTTGACGTGTGGGGTTTTGTCCTACAT